GTCAAATAAAATAAGCTAATGAGTTCTGTTATAATTGTGGTTTGACTAAGAGTAACAATTAAGGATGACCAAAAATCACACTTTTTTTCTGGCAGATTGGTTTTTGTTTTCTATTTTGTTGCAGTGGGTACTGTTGGTGTTGCTATTGATGATGTTGTTCTAGTTTTTCTTGGTCCTCTTCAAATCATTCCAGCCAGGACAAATAACATGGTCTTATGCACATCCCACCTGGGTGTGTGAAGACAAAAGTAATGTACTCATGTCTTGGAGTACTTCTGCTCTTCCTTTGTTGGGGTTCTTGAACATAAAGTTCATAAAGCCAACTATCAGAAGTTTTGTGAGTGGACCTACTCATCAGGTTTGGCTCTGCCTATAGCTGCTGAGCCAAGCCCTGCATTCAGAGCAGAGGAAATGCCAAGGCCAACAGCAGGGTTTCATCCAAGACTTGGAGGCTTACAGCACGTGATTACTAACTTCCTTGGTTTTATGAGTTCTTGGTCCTCTCAAAGTGTACTCTGTAGGACACACAGTTATATTATTAAAGGAAATTAAGGCTTCTAAATTATTTTGAGGATCTCAGTAAAGCTTCTTGAGGTATGCTCTGGAGTATAAAATTTATTTTATTTGAACATTTAAAATCTAATAGTTGTTTCTGTGAAAGAAAACTCAAATATGTGCACCTAGTACACAGTGAAGCCTAAACTTAGGATATTTGTCCAGTTGCTAGACAGAAATTGTTGCAGACTAGATTCCCTGGGAAGCAGATGCTGATGCAAAGTTGAGGATGCAAGCCATTTTGCAAAGCTTGTTTTTGTCATTCATACTGTACGAAGGAGGAGAAGGAAGTAGGGTTACGTATTTATTTAAGACATTGAAATAATGCCTGGCATGTGTATAAATAAGCAAACAGATCATAGAAAGCTTAGTGTATGTATTGTTTGCCTACACAGTGTCATTGGAAGCATTCATAAAAGTCCCAAATAATAATTTAATCAACCTGGATAGAACTATAAAATTGGCATAGCATTTCAGAAAAACAATTATAATATATTAGCAGCCTTCACAATGTTTATGTTTTGGCTCTAGAATTCTAGAAATTTCTCCCAAGGAAATAATGGAAAAAAGTGAATAAAATTTAGGTATGAAATAATTATTCTAGCATTATTTTTAACAGCAAAACTAAAAACAACTTAGATCTTATAATAGGAGAAAGTTAAATAAATTATAGTACAGTATACCCAATTTTAAATGCAGTCATTAAAAGCAGGGTTTTAAAAGAATTTTTAATGCCAGAGGAAAATGCTCACATTACCATGGTTAGTAAAAAAAAGCAGAATACACAGGATTCCAATATGTTACTATATGCTTGAAAAAGATCAAAGGTATGTTTAGCAGTTAATAACTCTGGGATGTTGCATTACAGGTCATTATCTTCTTTTTTGGCTCTTCTTTTTATATCCTGGGTTTATCATCCAAAAAAGTTAATTTAATTAGGCTAAAACTTCCACCTTAAGAATATCTGAATAGACAACAAAGGTAGAGATATTGCCTACCAAAGGTAAGAAGCAAAATCTAGGTGTATTGCTTGGGTATAGTGCTCCAGTGCCTACTCTTAGCACCCTGTCAACAACTCATTTATCCTCAGGGATACCATCTATAACCCTCAGCTCAGAAAATGCAGAACAGAAAAATTCATTCTGCCGTTTACTCAGCAAACATGTGCAAACAAACCTGGTAAGACGGCACAGCCGAGAGAGCATCAAATCCTTACAGGACAGTGTTCTCCATCCCCCAAAATAACCCATTTCCTGGATATCTCTCTTAGAATCAAGGAAACCTTTCTCAAAGCCCCCAGCACAGCTCCACTCTTATCTCACAGGTCAGAATTTGTCACATGTCCACATCTAATCCAGAAACTATTACCAGCTTAGATCAGAGAGCTTTAGATGGGAAAGGGGCGAGGCTCCCTGAAGCACATCTCAAGGTGGAGTAGGGTAGATGCCTGGGCAAAACTGGTATTCTGATAAGGAAAGGGAGGGAGGTAATGGGTGTCGTGGCCAATGATTAAATGCTGTGTCTGCTCTACCCCCCACTGCATGAAGCCTTGTCTACTGTAAATTCCAAAGGAGATATGGGGTAGGAAGTAGACAGGGAATGTAGATAGCCAAGTTGTCCTGAGTAGTTGGGGTGAAAGGGCCTGACGACAAAAGGAGGAGGGAGAGGGCTCAGCAGACTAGTCTGACCTACTTCACAGTTCTGTCTAGCAAGTCCTGTTGGAGCATAAACTGGGACAGTACAAAGTCAAGGCCAAACACATTCTAGTCTCTGCTAGTATGAACACAAGGTGATCATGAATATTGCCTCATTTGAGATGAACATGGATGTCTAAGCATTTGAGCTGTGAATATCCTTGGACAGGAGCGGTGGGCTTTATGATCCAGCAGATAGGAAGAACACAAATCTTTCAAAGCCAACCTTTAATGTGTTATAACCACCTACCATCTCCAGCCATAAACTAGCCCCGAAAAAAAATAAAAGACATATAAGACACAAGGTCTGGCTTTGAAGTATTTAAACTCTGCTGAAAGAGTCAAAATCAATAGAAGTGAATCTGAGAGCAATATCAGGCCTTCTAGAATGAAGAGCTAAGGGATGTTGTGCAGAGTGGAATTATGGTGGGACTCACCCAAGCGGGGAGAGAGCTAGCTGAGGGGCAGGCTGCAGGAAGGGGGTCGGGGCTGTGAGTAACCCCAGGTAGGTCAGGATTTGGGTTAGGGCAGGCAGAAGAGGGGAGAAAGAAGAGCCATAGGATGGGGGAGAGGGTGGCAACAAGGAGAATCCTCTGACAAGGAGGAAGACACTCTGTCTGGGTAGTGAGAAATTATTTGGATGGGAAGAGTGGGGCTATAGGAATTTAACTTCATGTGTTAGGCCTGGCTCACCACTGGTAAGTTTGGGAATGGGTCACTTTAGGAGTTGCCTGGCTGTGATCCTCAGGGTTTTGTTCCTTTTTTTTTTTTTTTTTTTTTTTTTTTTTAATTAAGACAAGCTTAGCCAGGTGTGTGGGGTGGTGTACAGGCACATTCTTTCCTGTGACACAAGAATCGCATCGGCAGCCTGGCCAGAGATGCACTGCCAAAAACAACTTTGAGCAGTAAGTGTGGTAGTGGAAAGGGAGCAGGTTTTAGAGCCAGACAGACTTAATTAAAGGTCTAGCCTGTCACTCATTAACAAGTTACTTCATTTCATTTCTCAGAACCTCAGATTTTTGTTCTGTTTTGTATTTTTTAAATCTACGGAACGGGCATAATCCCTACCTTATAGCATTTTTATAAGGAAAGTGTCTAGTACATAGTTAACCCTCACGATATTAATGCTTTCCCTTCCTTCTTTTTGTTTATCAGAACTATTAAAGCAGGTTCTTCTGGGGTAGATCAGTTGGTTAGAGCATTGTCCCAATATGCTGAGGTTGTGGATTTAATCCCTGGTCTGGGCACATTCAAGAATCAACCAGTGAATGCAAAAATAAGTGGAACAACAGATCAATGTTTCTCTCTCTCTCATTAAACAAACACACAGACCAAAAAAACCTATTAAAGCAAAACCTCCAATGCTTGGTCTTATCTAATCATGTTGTATGGCAACTTTAAAACTGTCTCATCCATAGACATAAGGCAAGGACAGAGTTTTAAGCCTTTCTTGATTTAAAAATTGAAATTTTCTGTCAAATTTTGGAAGTTTTTATTTTAAACACAAAGTAATAAGATTTACCTATAAAGGGTAATTTTACTGTCATTATTAACTTGTATTTGCGGTTGTAGTTTTTAACTTATAAATTAAATATACATTACAAATTCAATTAAGAAGGAAGGAGGCACAAACAATGGTGAGGGGGCAAATAAGTACATTCCTATAGTACAAGGGTATGAGACAGCCACTTTTACTTTGGATTTGAATTTTCTAGAAAGGCTATATTATCTTTAATACATTCAAAATAATTTATTTTTTCATTAAAAAAAATATGACTCTCCCAGTTCTACTTCCCCTAAACCAACCCTGGACAGGCAACATGTGTGCAGTATGTGTGAGGGAGAAGAGAGCTCCAGGTGTGTAGCACAAGGCCAAGAGGAGGGGACAGGTATGATCAAAAGGAGGGCTCTGAGTATATTTCAAATTTGCCCCTCACGTTCAAAAAGAAAACATATCGTTTATTACTGGTTCAACAGAGAGGCTTGTTTCCTGATCTGTCCCCCAAGAGGGGGAAAAACCAAAAGATCCATAGAAAAGGGCACAAAGAAAAGAAAACCTAGAGAGAAAATGAAAACAGCTATTCAAAAGGATGATGGGATGATGGGTGAATCTTTGCCTCATGTTTCATTTACATCATCATCCTGCTCAGGCTGTAATGAAGGTTGAGAGTCATCTAATGCAGACCATGATGCTCTTCGGAAGATGGCGGGGGGGGGGGCGGGGGGGCGGGGGGTGGGAGTGTGGGAGTATTGTGCGTGAACCTGTTGGGAGGTCGGGGAGAATTGGAGATTGTACAGTGTGTGGAGTTTGGAGTGTGTAAAGGGAATGTGCGTGTGTGGGGGGTGTATGAGAGAAAGCGAGTGCGCGAGGAGTACAGATGTATGGATAACACGTGTAGAGAACGTGGACCGTGCACGGTGTGGTTTGCACAGTTGGGAGTGTGAGAGTGTGGACTGAGAGGAGTATGGATGTGAGGTCGTGAGTGTGAGGTCGTGCGCGCGCGCGTGTGTGAACCTGCGTGTGTGGAGAGCGCACAGGGCGTGCGGAGTTTCGAGAGTGAAGTAGGTACGCGGAGGCCTGGCGAGTGTGCGCACACCCCCCCGCCCCCACTACGTCCCGCCCCATCTCTACCTCCCAGCCCTCCACGCCCCGCCCCGTCTGCGGCGGCAGCGGCGGTGGCGGGTCCCGGCGGGGCGCGGCGGAGGCAGCTCCTCTGCAGAACGCGGCGGAAGAGGGGCGGGAGCGTAGGGGTGGGCGCCCTGTGCCGGAAGCGCGCGCGTCCCGCCGGGGCGGCCGCGGGTATGTGCAGGATGTCCTTCAAGGTGAGTGTCGCGGCTCCGGAAGTGAGTACCAGGGCGAGCGACAGACCCGCGGCGGCAAAATCCGCACTAGAGACCTCCGGGGCCGCCGCTGCGGGGGCCCGCAGGGTGGGGTGGGCGTCACCTGGGTGCTGGCTAGGGACGGGAGGAAGCGACCGGGCTGGGATGGCTCCTGTGTGGTTTGGTTTTGTGTTCTTTGCTAGAAAGACTTTCGGTACTAACGGCTGCAGGTCGAGTGAGCCGACCGCGGGGAGCAGGGACAGCGGGTGCTGTCGCCGGGGTAACAGGCGGGGCGGGGACTTCCTCGGTCAGCGCTTCCCTGCAGCCCAGCTCGGAGGGACCGGCTGCGGCACAGATTCCGGATTTTGTGTCCTCCTTGCGGAATGCCAGCCGCACAGCTGCCTCCTCCTCACCAGAGCACGTTTCTTGGATGCTGAAGCTGAGCACCAGCGCATCCAAAACTCTTGTCTTAAAAGAGTTTATTGAAGTCACTCCATTATATTCCCACATTTTAGAATGTGAGATTAGCTGATTTCCCTCTACTGAGAGGTTTCAATAAAAATAATAGTTAAAATGTTCTGAGCAGTTAAAATGTGCCCAATTCTGATACAAGGGCCTCACCGTTTGCCTTCCGAATCCTCAAAAGTCCCGTGGATTGTACTTTTCTGGCTCTTTTTTTTTTTTTTTTTTTTTTTTGACAAGAAAACTAAAACAGGGTAAGTTAATTAGCTCCTCTGACAGTTTTGCAGCCAGTAAGTGAATGGTGTTAAAATTGAAACCCTAGTGTATTTGGCTTCAAAGCCTCTGTAGTCCCATCTCCGACTGTAGCTCATGTAAGCTGAGAATGACATGGTGAGATTTACATGTTGAAAAGATCTCTGGCTACAGTTTGGAGAGTGGAGCTGAGAGACCAGACAGGAGGATGCGGGAGTCATCTTGTTAAATGGTAGTGGACTAGGGCACAGGTGTGGAAGATAGGACATGGACAAAATGAATGACTTTAACGTGTTGAAATCTCAGAATTAAGTAATTGATGTTATTCACGGAGTTCAGGAAGGCCAGAGAGGTGAAGAGAAAACATTCAGTTTGGGACGTGGGAAGTTTAAGGATTGATGGGAGTTGCAGAAGAGATGTTAAATAGACTGGCAGCCCCAGAGGGTAGTCCAGGCCCGGAGAGATATGAGACCTAGAAATGAGCAGTGTTAGGTGGTCAATGAACCCATGGAAATGAATGTGATTACCCAGTGAGACCGTGTAAAGGTGGAAAATAAGAGGCCTGAGGACAAAATCTTGAAGATCAAGACTTGAGAATGAGCAGAATAAGAGAAGCCATTGAGAAAACTGAGCAGCAGCCAGAAATATATGAGAACATACCAAAGCATGTGCCATCATTTCAGCCAATAATCTCTAGTTTTTGAATAAACATGAAGAGGGACTCAAAGTTAAATACCACAGAGAAACAAGCAAGCTAAGAATTGAAAAGTGTCCATTGAATTTAGTAACAAAACAACCACTGGTGACACCTTGGTGAGGGCACTTACAGCAAAGTGTGGGGTTCAGGAGCCAGACTGCAATAGCTTGAAAAGAGAGTAGGTAGAACTCTTTCAAAAAAAATTCTGCAAGAAACAGTGGCTGTAGCAGGGATCCAAGACTTGGCCAGGGGTTGGTTTGCTTTAAAATGGTAGAGACTTGAGTATCTTTAAATGATGGTAGGCATCTCAACAGTACAAAGACAACCCATTTAAAATGAGCAAAGGATTTGAATGCACATATCTCCCAAGATCTACAAATGGCCAATAAGGCCCTGAAACCGCTCTACATTATTAGTCATCAGAGAAATGCCAATCAAAACCAGTGTGATGCCACTTCACACCGACTAAGATGACTGTAATCAACAAGACAATGAAGTGTTGGCAAAGATGTGGAGAAATTAGAACCCTCATACATTGCTGGTAGGAAAGTAAAATGATGCAGCCATATTAGAAAACAGTCTGGCTATTCTTCAAAAGTTAAACGTAGAGTTACCACATGACCCAACTATTTTGGTCCTAGATATATACTCAAGAGAAATGAAAGCACATGTTCACAGCAGTATTATTTATAATAGTTCCAAAGTGGAAACAACACAAATGTCCATCATATGATGATAAACAAATGTGGTATATATTAGTCAGCTTGGTCTGTAGTAACAAGATACTATAGACTCAGTAACTTAAAACACCAGAATTTTATATCTCATAGTGCTGGAGGCTGGGGAGTCCAAGATCAAGCTGTTGGCAAATTCAGTGTGTGGTAAGAGCCTTGTTCCTGGCTTGCAAGCAACCACCTTCTCACTACATCCTCAGACAAGAGGAATCTCTAGTGTCTCCTTTTCTTTTAAGGGCACAAATCCTATTGCGGGGGCTCTACCGCCATGGCCTAATGTATACCAAATTACCTCTCAAAGGCCCCATCTCAGTACCATCACATTGGGGTTTAGAACTTCCACATATGAATTTGGTGGGGGGAAGAAAACAAGCATTCAGTCCATAAGATGACGTATCCATACAATGGAATTCTCGTTCACCATAAAAGACTGAAGTACTGACATGCAGCAACATGGAAGAAACTTGAAAACATTATGTTAAGTGAAAGAAACCGGACTCAAAAGGCCACATATTAGATGATTCTATTTGTATGACATGTTCAGGATAAGGAAATCCATAGAGACAAAAAGTAGATTTAGTGGTTGTCAGGGTTTGGGGAAGAAGGGGAAGATGAGAAATGATTGTTAACAGGTATAAGGTTTTTCTCTGGGGTGCTGAAATGTTTTGGAATAGTATGCTGATAGTTGTAAAACCTTGAGAACACACTAAAAACCATTCAATCACGTGCTCTAAAAGGATGACTTTTATAGTGTATCAATTATATCTCAATAAAAAGGTATTTTGACATGACAGTGGAGAGTGCTGAGAAAGCTTGGGAGTAGAGGGGCTAACTGAGCTGAGGGGCAGAGAGAAAGCAGGCCTTTAATAATTGTAGAGATTAACTAAACAGGTGGAGGAAAACCTTTTCCATTGGAGTCAAAGAAAGGAGATGAGGTTGAACATGGATTTTGATGTTTTCTAAAGTGAAGACCAGGATGAGGTCAAAATTTGGGTTACGCAGAAAGGGAAGTGCCAAAATTTTCAGTGAAGAACAAAGAATGATCAGGCAGCAACAGCTATCAGGTGAGGTGAGGCAGAGGATGAGGGAGTGGAATGGCCTGAGGGTTGAAAAACCCGGAGAGTCCTACACCTGACTTCAGGAGCATTGTCTGGGAGCCAGGTGAGGAGGGCCCAGCCCCATTTCCTACCCTAGAGCTGGTGTGGGAGAAGGTCCAACCTCTGCCAGAGAGGGGTGCTGGGGAGCTTTCCACAAGGAGACAGAAGCAGTGAAGCACTCTGGCCTAGGTTAAGATCAAGTGGAGCTGATTTTCCATGAAGTTCCAAAAGGCACAGAGGGAAGGCTGGAGGGGGAGGGGGAGGGGGAGGAGAGCCGGGTCCTTTAGTGGACTAAGCCTGCCCTAGCCCTAGCTCACATCTTAGCAAACATATTAAAATGTACCCACAGCCCATGATAATAATAGACTTTTTATTGTATTTTGGAAGGGTTTTTATAAATTGCTTTTAAAATTATTTAGTCATGAATCATGTAATTTATAGTTGCACTTGATTTTTCTGCCATTGCTATATATGTAGTCAGTAATTCTTGTGTAGTGAGAAAAATCAGACCTACAAGTTATTTTCGTATCTCATCAGTGTTTCATGAATACCAGTTTTATCAATTAAACAAGTTTACAGAATGGCACATTTTGTAGCTTTTTAATTAAATATTTATTAACTCTAATTTTGGAGCCATAGATTAACCGTTTCATTTTCACAGGCCCCTAAACACTCGTACATCCTAGGCCCTAGGTCTCCAAAGCCTTTGTTTAAAAGGCCCAGCATTGTTGGCTGAGGCTGGGAGAATAAATAGAGCATCATAAATCACAATTGAGCCCCTGTGTGATGACTCAGAGTTACCGTGTGCAGGGCTGTTTGCTGCTTCTGAACCACAGGGACCCCTCTGCATCTATTTTTTACCCTCCCTCCATTGTGCTGTTGGCAGACACTTCTCCCTTGCTGTCGGGTTTGCCTCTGGTAAGCTTCTTTCATAAGTGGAAACTCCAGATTTGATCTGGTTGGGAAAAGAGACACACGTTCTTTGGAATTATCCTTAAAGTAAAAGCAAACTCAGAATGCAGATCTGAGCCTTTTTGTGGAATAAAGGTCATAGGTTTCTGCACATCAAGTTTTTTTACTTTATAACGGCTATTTTACCTACTCAAGACTTACTCTTAAGGGCTGAGATTGCCAAGTGTTTAACACAGTTGGGGTTAGAGTGACATGGTGAGGGAGGTCACCAAATAGAGGCGACATCCCTGAGTAAAGAACAGCACCAGGTCACTCCTGAGCGTGTGTTATCCAAGCAGGTAAAGCATGTCAGTGCCATGTTTCATCTTGGTGATGGAAACTGCTCACGCCTTGGCCAAAAGTACAGGAACTTGTATATATCACCCTGGTTCTGAAAGTTTGTAAATTATCTCATAATCAACTCCAGTTCACCAATCAGCTGAAATTATTTGGGTGGGGCACAGGAAAATAACTTTACAAAGTCATTTTTTTTAATCCACATTATTCTTTTTTAACTTTAATTTTTTACTGTATTTTTTCATTACCATTTAGCCCCCTTATGTTCCCTCCCTTCATCCCACAATTACCACCCTGTTGTCTGTGTCCATGAGTCCTTTTTCCTTTTTGCCTTTTTAACCCAATAGTTTAAATCTCTACCCTCTCTTGGTTTTTAATTGGAATTCCAGTTCTGTACAAATAACAGTTTCCCTTCTATGTTTCCTCTACCTTTCCTTCCTGTACTTAATTTCCGGTAGTGTAATAATGAACCATTTATGAGCCAAAATTCTGGCAGTAAATGAGAAAAAAAAA